GATTTTTTTCCCTACACCTGCTTCGTTTAAGGCCTTCCGAATGTTTTTCATTGCCAGGAGCGTCGTTTTGGTAAATCTCCCTTTGAAACTACTCAAAAATGGCTCATTTCCAACAGCTACGTACCTGCAGTTAAGGGTGAGTATTCGTTCGAGTTAAAGAAAAAAAATTGAGTTAATTGAATTAACAAGTCCTATTTTATCAAAATTTGGTTGCTTGGAGAATGCATATATACATATAGCTTACTTGATATTAACACCTCCTTTGCGAAGATGTACTGTGCAGTTTTCTTTGACCCAATCCTTGGCATTTCCATAGTCATCAGACAAAAATTCAAGCTGATCATTAGGGATCCCAAGCATGACCTCGATGCCAGTTCCAGCCAAAAACCCCACCATCCTAGGGTCTGAATCGAAAAGCTTAACCTTTTTAAAGCCATTATCTTTTAGCAGTTGAACCACTATTTTAGGATGTATTGGATGCGACGTCATCATACCCCAATTCATACCGAGATCGTTGGTATCTGCAACAACCTCGACGCCGGTTGCAACCAGGATCAAGACAGTGGCCCATATCGCCGCCATGGCTTGAGCCATGCGTTCGAATCAAATTCCTCAAGGTTTAGAACAGATAAATCTTAAGATTCAGGGTCTGACTGCTTCCAAAAGATTTGGAATTTACGCTTGCTTAAGAAATTTGTTAAGTTGATGATGCAAAATTAACTTCGATGGAACAACGATTTAGAGTGTCGGGGATTTTTCTTCGTGCTTTGTCCTTTTATTTCCTTGTCTGAAGACAAAGGAGTTCGTTAAGAGGCTAACTGGCTTCTCTATTTTTAGTTTGTACAAATAACGAACTGTCTAATACCCGGATCTATATCAGTTGATTCATTCAATTATACTCTTCCATGTAGGCCATGCAGGATAATAAAGTTGTATTCCAAAGTTGAATCACCCGCCATATGTCTCCTAATAAATTGTTTTATTACATTGTGGCCCTTTTAAACTCCAAATTCACTGCAAAATGATCATTCCATGAATGCTCTTTAACACCAAAAATTTATTTATAGGCTGGTCGAAAATAATTTAATATTAATTTTTAAAAAATAAATATTAAATACTAGTTTAATATTAATTTATTACTAATTTATATATAATAAATTATTTAATTAATTTATAAAAAATATAAATAATTATTTAATATTATGAAGGGATTTTTAATGAAGACCCTATGTTTCTTTCCCCCAAAAAACTAATTATTTAATTAATTTTTAATCTCAAATGAAACTGAAAATAATTTAGTTTTTTCAATAATGTATATTAATATAAATGTTTGTGGAATGCTCACAAGTTCTTAGCATAACCAAATGATTAAATGTTTAGTTGTTAGTATTAAAAGTTCTAGATTTGAATCATAGTTTTAACCAAAATCATTAATTTTATATTGGTAATGTAATATAAGTTAAATATGAATTTTAATGATATTAAAACAATCAAACATGTCTAATCATTCTACATAAATATTATTTTGTAATCATATCCGATTATTTAAAAAACATGTTTAGTCACTCTGTAACACCCCAACCCGTATCCGATCCAGATACGACTCCGAGATGTCACATTGACATTTCAAAACCTTTATTCTTTTAAAATATCAAAACATTTGAACTCTTTTTAAGAAAATACCACAATATTCTATTAAATCATGTTTCAGTATAAAAATTCAAGTCAAAACGTATTTATGAACAGTACCTAAATGTTAAAATTTTTTAGAATGTCAGAGGGGAATCGATTCCCCTGCTACAATACTGCTACAATACTTCCGTAAAATACGTATAAATTCATAAAAATCCAAGGTTTCATCATTATACATTTACCATTTACATATATACGTTTAAAACATTTCCAAAACTCGATCAGAGCGTATATAATAAAAATCCTTTTTATTACATGCCAACTAAATTCTTTCTAACAAAATACATTTAATTCGATCTACATTTCTTATCTGATCTTCGGTAAGGAGAACTGACCTGTCTCGTTCCTCTTTACTTCTCTTTTCGCTTTCCAAACCTACGTGTTAAACAATCATACGCTAAGTCGATGACTTAGTGAGGCATATAAAACATATAATATAATCATATACCATTTCATATAAACAAACGACATACATGTACAAATACTATCATTAATCACTTTTACTTACCATATATTCATCATATAACACATATATCACTATACCCAGGAATAAACATATCATCATGTAATTTCTATAACATATTTCATATTACCAAATATACATATCACAGATAGTGTATTTGCTATTATCTCTTATTAATCCATGTACACAGGTCGCTAATTCTTTTTATCATATAACATATACTAAATATTTTTATACAGATCATGGAACACGTATATCATTTTCAACACATTTAACATTTCACATTCATTATCATTAATTCTTATAATTTAACACCCTTATACTAATTTCATATTCAATATACTTATTAAATTTCTTTGTTAGCCCATGTACACTATTGAGAACTGAAGGTATGTGAGTACATTGAGGTTGTGCACTAATGTTGTCACCACAGCTCGTATATGTCCCACTGAGTGGCATATGAAATTTGTCCCGAAGGACCACTGTATTATCCCGAAGGACCTATGAAACCCTCGACTCTTGGCATGCCAACTGCACCTATAGCTCTCGTATCATATAACATGGGCATTATCATTTGTTCATTTCATATATCTTGTTCTTTCTCTTCTGTCACATTCCACATGTATGTGTAAACATCTATATCATATCATTTAACATGTATCACAAGTGCATGTAATCACGTATTACATGTGATCATGTAGATCATTTTATATGGTTATATCATTTCTCATTTATTCATGTACGTATGTCATATCTTGTTCACATATGTTCATATATATATGTCACATATACTTTGAATAATCTTTTTTTCATATATGGCATATCACATAAATCACATAGCACATATCAGTTCATATAATCAAGTATACACACATTTCATGTCATTCACATCCTTATAATCAATACTCCATACACTATAACTATTGTAAATAGACTTATCACAAGTCCAATTCCTTATAATCCTATAAACTAAAATGCATTCATAAGAATCATATCAATCATATAACATTTTAGGAGTCACTTCTTACCATAGTAACTCCGTCACTGGCTCATCGCAAGCCAATGTTTTTCGATAGCATAAGTACAATTAAATTGCACTCACGTTAGCTTTGCTTTGATTCGATCCTAATTCTTTGATTATTCCTTAACTTGTTTAGGCTCAATATCTACATAAATATAATTTTCAAAATAATTGTCAAAAGCCTAAACCTTAAACTTGATGTTAATAACTTAAGTTGGTTCAATGAACCAAAAATTCCATTTTTCCTTTAGGGGGGAATCGATACCCCCAAGGGGGTATATGTTCTCTCTGCGTAATATGGAATTTTTCGTTCAAGCCAGAAATCACTGTTCAACTATGAAAATTTACTATTTCCACTTCAATTCCTCATGTTTCATCCCCTTTCATATTCTTAACTCAAATATACATACTTAAACTAATCTCTACTCATTTATCACATCTTAAACCTCAAAATCTTCTCCTCTTTATGAACTTCAAAAATCATACCAAATATTCAACATGTTTCAAATCCAATTCTAACACTTAATACTTCTTAATTAAGCTGATGACAAGTCAAATTTAACTTCAAATTCAACTTATCAACTCTATTTCAAGATTTCACTCGATAACTTAAAATCTTTAATCTCTCTTAACTCATTTATCTTTTGATTTTAAGATAACTTAAGCTTTCTTTAAGCTTAGTTATCATCTAATGATCATAACCCAATCTTAAAATTAACAAATAATTAGCTAAACCGAAAACTTACCTTTGCTTAGCTTCCACGGTGAAGAAGGAGAAGAAGATGAGAGAAATGTTTGGAAACATTTGTTTCCCACATTTCTCTTCCACGTGGGTTATAAGACAACCCCAAATATTATTTTATTCTTTTATTTGTTCAATGACCATTTTGCCATTTATTTCCTTTGATAATTACTAAAAATTTTCAGGAAATACTTTCAAATAAATCATTGAACCTTTCAACTTTTTCACTTTAATCACCAAATTCTGAAAAATTTACGATATAGTCACTAACCCATAGTTTAGGATGTTACACTCTTACCTAAAAAAAGTAAAAAAGTAAAAAAAAAATATTAGTGATTGACTAGATAGGTAGTTTACCCTATATTCAATTCATAAAAATTAAGGATTAATATAAAAGTAAGTATCCAAATTATATTGTTTTTCTCATTTAGTTGCTTAAACTATTTTTCAACCAATTAAGATGCCTAATTTATAAACAATATCATTTTAAGTACCCTGACTGTGACAATCGTAAAAAAATCTCATTAAAGTGACACATAACGTAATTTGATAATTTTAAAGAAGTTTTTTTAAATAACTTAAAATTAATTATTATATTTAAAAAATATTTTTTAAAATATTTTAAAGATTGGGATGGAACCATGCTTACAACACAAAATATAATATTTTGAAACGGATAAGTTTTGTTGGAATGATTTTGAAGGTTAGTGACGGGACTGAGTTGTTTATGGAGGTTTGATTAGATGGAGGTTCGATTGATGTAACGGCGATAAACAATGTGACCGACATAGATTAGGGATTATAATAAAGATTTTCAAAGTTTGAAGTTTTTTTTAAAGATTTTTGGAAATTTTGATTTTTTAAATTATATTTTTAGATTTTATTTTAAATAAATTTTTTTAAATTATCATAACGTGACATATATCCCTTAATAAAAAAGAATTTAACTTCATTACGATTGAAACATTTAAAATGATAACATTTATAATATTAAATATCTAAATTGATCGAAAAATAATTTAAGTATCTAAATAAAAAAATATAATTTAAACATTTATTTTTATATTAAACAAAATTAAAATGATACAAACGGAACAAGTAGACAAGAATTTTCCTATCTCCTTCTCTTTGTATTGTAATCTGCCAAACGGACCATTGCCAGTCTCCCAAAGCGGGTACTTTATTCCCTTAACTATGTCTCGATTTTATGTTCATCAAAATAAGTTAAAAAAAAAGTTCGAATTGAAGCAACCCATTTGATTTTCTTTTTCTTTACGCTCTATTTTGTGGCTGAAATCATTTTCAGAGTGTTTAATTTTTCTTCTACATTTTCGTATGTTTTATTGAATCTCTTGGTAAATTCTTCTTCAGTGAGTATAGCGGAAGCTGAGAGAGGTGTTTGGTTTGGTCATCTAATCATGGGTCCCTTCACACTGGCTGTTGACTCCAAGAGCTCTCATGTAGTCTGCTCTGGTAATTAACCCACTTTAATTACGTATACATTTTTGGTGGTTTTTACCTGTCTTTTATTGTTTGAACAGTTGGTGTGGTTTTGTAGATGTATCAAATAGGAAGATTCAAAACTTACAGCTGCAAACAAAGAAGTGCTTTGCATCAGTCAGCTTGGAAGACGAAAAGCCTTTTGATTTCCTACGTATTTTGTTTGGTATGTATAAAAAAATATCTCAACTCCCACATTGAAAAACAGACTATCATTGAAATTGGGTACATTGATTTTTTAATAACTACAACAACACAAAAGAGGAAAGGAAGAAAAACTGTTGGAACTACAAGATGAATTCAGCTGCTAAAAAGAGTTAGTTAACTTACAAGTGAATGATTTACAAGTTTTTTCTAATTATTTTGTTAGGTCCTCCTCTTGAATATGCAAGTGTTAACTCCTTGCTTATATGGCGATAATTAGCATTAAAAGTCATATCATGATCAGCTATGTCATGTCCATATTTACTTTAATGAGCAAGACTCCAGCAATTTTACTTGATAAGCTATTTGAACTTCATTTCAGAGCATCCCCTTGTTTCTCATATGGTGATTAGGTTTCATTCCAGCATTGAAAGATTTGGGTAATCAAAATTGATGTTCGAACTAAAAAAGGACACTTTTTTATCACCAATGTTTCTATATGTTAGCAATAAACAAAAGGCCCAGTTTTGGGTGGTAAGGAGAAAAAATCTCAGTGAATGATTGTTCTCTAGGACCAGATTTGTGAAGAAACTTTTGCTTGTCATTTCAAACATGAGAAACCAAGATTCAGCAGTCATTTTTTTTTCTTTGCCGAAACTGCGTTGACTATACCAGTGTGTCTAGTTTAGTACAGTTTGCCGTTATGTTCATGTATTCTAACTTGTTTGTAATACTTTGCAGAGGGAATCATAGCTGGAGGTACAGCTGGAGTTGTGGTTGAAACAGCTTTATACCCAATTGATACAATAAAGACACGGCTGCAGGCAGGTGTTTCTTGAGTAGTTAAAGTAAATATTAAGTTGGACGTCACTGATTTTTCTTCCACCTGATGTCTAGTCCAACAGTCCAAGTCTTTTCCTGGACCTTTACACAGGAGAAGGATAGAGGAGACTAAGATGGAAAGGGGAGGAATTTTTTTTATAAAAAAAATCAACTTGTTCTTTTAGTTTGTTGGTTATACAAAAGGAGGAGATTGATTAGGGGTGAAAATGACTCATTTTAGTGGGCTGATTCTTCCCACCCATTTTCTTCTATTAATTAGTGGATTTAATCTTGTGTGTGTAAAGATGTAAATCCCTTCTATTTCCTTCCAACAAAAGATGAAATTGGTTGTAGCACTTCAAATTTTACTTCCAATTTTGGTTTTTCCTACCAGATGAGGTACTAGGATAAGAGATCATCCTTTTGCTTTGCATTTTTACATTCTTGTTGCTAGCCAATCTTTACTGGTTTTGGTTCCTGTAAAATGAGTTACATTTGGTTCAAGTGCAATATTTGTGTAAATCTGTTTCTAAATAAATTAACGAGTCATAATCATGATACAGATATGCTTTGATTCAATATGGATAAGGACCTAAAGAAGAGTACATTTAGTGCTTTGGTTTCATTTTAACTTTGGCCTTTTGCTCAAAACTTTCTGATACTTACCTTATTTTCCTCTAGGCAGCTCGTGGTGGAGGTAAAATAGTTTTGAAGGGGCTTTATTCTGGATTGGCTGGTAATCTTGCTGGTGTCTTGCCGTAAGTACCTTTGAATTGCTGAACTTTATTTCTCAAGCATATTAACATCTTAACTGCCTTTGTAAAATGAACTGAAGTTTCTTTCAAGATGGTTCTTCCAATTCAATTACCTTTTTTACCTCCTTTTACTATTCTAATTAACTTTGCATGACAACCGAAAGAAGAAAGTAGAACTATTCCAAGAACATTTATGTAGGCTGAAATGTTTTTGGATAATTTGCAAAATACTTTCAGGTAACAGACATGACTTTTTTACTTTTTTAGAAATTCTTTTACTGCATGTATTCAATGATATACTGAATATGTTCTTATTTCTTTTGGGTTCAATTTTCTGGTAATAACTTTTCTGTGCACAGAGCTTCTGCTTTATTTGTCGGTGTCTATGAACCTACAAAACAGAAACTATTGAAGCTCCTCCCAGAAAATCTTAGTGCCGTTGCTCACTTGGTGAGTATGTTCTTTTATTTCTTCTTTCTTGATGTATAGATATATTTCATGATAAATCCAGTACAAGGTAATAGCCTTGTAAAGGTCTACATCTTCTATCAAATAAACCTTTTTCGGTTACTTGAAACATCCTGCTTAACCTAAATGATTTGTTTCAATAACTTCCTTGATTTCTCACCTTTCTTGAGAAAGTCCAGTTAGATTTTGACTGCACTGTCTCTTATTAATGTGGTTGAATTCCGCGCAGACTGCAGGGGCCATAGGAGGAATTGCTGCTTCACTTATTCGTGTTCCTACTGAGGTAGATATCTTTGCTCATGCATTTTTCTTTTTAATTTATTGAAAACTGAGTAGTAGTCCTTTTCTCTGTTTTCTGTTTTTATTAACAACTCAGGTTGTAAAGCAAAGGATGCAGACTGGGCAGTTTACTTCTGCATCTAATGCTGTTCGTGTTATTGCATCAAAGGAGGGATTTAAGGGTCTCTATGCGGTATGGGATATCCTCACTTTTCTCTTCCTCCTATCATATTGGATTTGCAAACACCTAGTCTTTTTCTTTTTTGATATTATTTTGGATTGTCAAATTTAGGCATCTAATCTTGTTTCAGTCCCAGATAGGCTAGAGACCTTTTTCTTTTGAAAAGATGAGAGAATTAGCCTGTTGCTATTTGATGAATGAAAATCCTCAGCTATTGTGAGTTGTGAATTGTTTTTTACTTTACCTTACCTTTGCTTGTAAGTTGTAGGGTTACGGATCTTTTTTATTACGAGATTTGCCATTTGATGCCATTCAATTCTGCATCTACGAACAACTTAGAATTGGTTACAAGGCAGCGGTAAGCTCTTATCTACGTGATCTTTTCCATTTATGGTTAGTGTGGCACATTAAATTGATAGATTTGGCTTACTCTAATTACTTGATTGTCTTTGCCCCTTGTTCTGTCTTGCAAACTATGGTATTCAAAAGCAAACTCTATATGATGTATTTTAGTGCATCCTGCGTCTATAGTGCACAAGTTCCTTTTTTGTGAATTAAAGAAATTAGCTGCAGCAAAGACAACTCCCAAGATACATATTTATTGAAAGCCCGCGTGTGGTTTTGTGTATAAGTTGGTTCACATCTATGATAGATTATATAAACAAAGGTTAAGGTTAAGGGCATTGGTACAATAAGCTATAAACTGCTAGTTGTTTTATATGTTATGTTGGATGTTTAGGAAAAACTTGGCCATAAAATTTAAGCAAAAGTGATATCAGAAGGAATATGGTATAGAAATTAAAACTTTCATTACAAGGTATTCAATAAATACTACAAGTGAAAGCCCAGTGGAGGTTGTTTAAGTTTATTTGGCTATATAATTTTGCTCACCTATAGATTCATAGGCAAAGAACACTATTTTTATTTGAGTTTATTAAAAAGGAAAGACAGATCAATGACATGGATAAAACTTGTGAAATTGGTTTGCCATTGAAATATTAGAGAGGAAAGCATCTATATATATACATGCATGTGTCGCATGTGCTGAATGGACATTTAGCTATCTACGGATTTACAGTGACAAGAAGTCCTGCTATTGTCATGCATGCAGGGTTTCTATCGACATAAAAAAAATTTCTGTGGACATACACATCAGATGGGATAAACATTATATTGCATTCTTCATAAATTTAGTGGTTTTCTTTCTGTTTTGCAGGCTCGAAGAGATTTAAATGATCCTGAGAATGCGATTATTGGTGCATTTGCTGGTATTATGATTACTTTGTAATGTACCCAGTAGTCCGATATCATGGTTTATATTATGAGACTCTTCTTTCCTAAAGTACCCATCTCGGACCTATGTCCAATAAATTTTTTGATGCCGGCACAAGAGTGGTTATCCAAATATATGAAGAAACATTAGAGAAAAACTGAGCATATGTCAAACATATCTGACCTCTTCTTCTGAGTCTCGAGTAACATAGACTGATGATTGAATCAAATGCCTTGCATGCTTAATTTGATCTTGTTGTAGGTGCATTAACTGGAGCAATAACAACTCCCCTGGATGTTATTAAAACGAGGTTAATGGTTCAGGTATAATATTTTTCTTGAAGATATTTATATATTCTTCTGGTTTATAATTATCAGCGATAATAATATTTGAGTTTCTGGTTTGTGGGTTTCATAGGGATCAGCAAACCAGTATAGGGGGGTCTTTGATTGTGTTCAAACTATTATTAGGGAGGAAGGGTCTTCTGCTCTTCTTAAGGTAGGAGTTTCTCCCGAGGAATCTACATCCACGTGTATTGGAAAATACTAGCATTTCAAGGATAAATTTGTGCATACATGCATAATTTTACACATGTATGCTGCAGGGCATTCAGCCAAGGGTGTTGTGGATCGGTATCGGTGGTTCAATCTTTTTTGGTGTCCTCGAGAGCACAAAACGACTGCTTGCGGAGAGGCGCCCCAAACCCCGTCAGGAATCAAAACATGATTAAGTCCTTGGACTGCGTCCAAGGTTTTCTGAATTTTAAGTTTCTTTACCTTTCTACAATTCACGATCAAATATTAGAAGGGGAAAATTTTAATGAAGAAATATTATTTATGAACTTTACCTCCCATTTGGTAATATAGGTAATTATTCTCTACCTTTTTCTGCTAACTCTCTGATCAATTTTATAAATGCACGTTTCTACATTAAGCATTTTTTATATCAAGTTGGATTGGGTTTGTATCTGAATTAAATCGGCTGTGTTAATCAAATTCTGGTCAAAATTGATTGATGTTGGATGTATTAACAATGACAATAAGGCGAAGGTAGTTTTTTTTTTATTCAATTAGCTGTATATGATAAGTCTGTTATTTCAAGAATTTTTAAAAATTAATATAATGTTAACTAACTATTAACTATAATAAGTGATTAATAAAAATATTTATTTGAGTTAACGGTATTATATTTTTGGGTTATTTTCTTGTCTGTTTTATAGGTTTAAGATGGTCTATACTAATATTAAAAACGTATTTAATTTTAATAAAAATTAGAAATTTAATTTATAATTATGAGTTAATAATTATAAAATTTCAATGGAAAACAAAGGAGATGGCACATGAAACTATAATATTTCAAAAACGAATGAACAAACTATACATCTCTTAGTCTTGCAGGAATGGTTATATGGACCCTTAAATATTCATCCGTTGCCAATGGCATCTCCAACCTGCTATAAATTGTTGCTAATTCGAAACACGAAAATTCTTCCTTTTTTCTTTTTAGAAAAAAAGGGAACAAATGAAACAAAAGCATTGTACAACATTACGATCGCAAAGCAACCCCCTCATCTAAAACTAAAAAGAAAAAAATACACTCTTCCTATCTTTTTTCTTCTGATTATGAGTTTGTGCAATCGACATTATATAATATGGAGGACATGTCATGAAGCTCCGGCAACCAATTGATGACTTTCATATCTTACCATTATAACCAATATCACATGTTCTTCGGTGATGATCGTAAGTGGCAATACCACGAAACTGTCAGTGGCATCAATGAGTATGATCATCCTATCAATCATCATTCCTCATAGCCATCAGAATACCACGAAACTGTCAGTGGCATCCATGAGTATGATCATCCTATCAATCATCATTCCTCGTAGCCATCAGAATAATCATCAGGCCCAGCCAAAAATCATATTCTCAAGAGTATCAACAATATGTCTCACATTAGTGGGAGGTAAGCCCCGCCGTGTCCTTTCCTTAAAACAAGTGGCGCTGCAGTGTCAGGGAACCGATCCAAGGCCTTCATGCAGGCATCCACCACATCAGTAAATCCAGTAGCTGAAGTTGCCAGCTGCAACCGTAGCCGCAGATCCCTAGTCCTCTTCAACAAGCATCTAAATGATCTCCCAAGGTATTTGGCCCATTCTGCAGGTAACCCTCCACCAGTGAGCCAAACCGAGAATTGGGATTGATCACCTCTAGCAACTACCTCAGCCCTGTAGAATCTTGCTAGTTCAATAAGCATAGATGGTTGAAGAGGAAGCACGGCCACAAATTCAGCCACAAAAATTTCTGTCAGTTCTGGATTAAGCATCTGATTCCAAAGGACTAGGGCCCATTCTGCCGGCTGATTAAGACCGTAGGCTTCTGCAACAATTAGAGCCTCCAGGAATCGAGATTGTTCAACTAGCGCGCGCCTAGCATTGGTTTCAGACAGGTGGAGCCACTTAGAATCTGGAATTCGTATTTGAAGGGAGACAAGGGAAGCCTGGGCACAAGCCCTACGTGTTTTGTTGCCAGCATCAATTGAAGCGTGAACTTCAGCAGCTTCAATGTAATAGCGCATCGATTCCAGGAGATCTTCATTCTGGTCTCTATCATAGCATTCAAACCATTGCAGGGAAGCTTGCTCCGCTCGTGACTCCAACAGAGATGCTGTTTCATGCTTCATGTCAAAGTGATTATATACCTGCAAATAAGAAAAGCATGGAAGAAAGAAACTGCTGAATAGAGCCAGTAACAGAACATACAGAATGACCATCATCTTAATTTTGAGCCAGTAGAGTGGCCATTATTAGATTATATCAAATATGATAGCCTGAATGGACCTATTCAAAGACCAAACCACCTGCTCAGGTCAGTAAGTCAGAACATAAGAGATTATGATATTATTAAATAACTAATGAGATCTTATTTAAATTCAATTTCTAAATGCATTTTAAAATATTTGAACAAATTTAGGAGTACACCCTTTTTAACATAGCAGAAAAAAATAAAAAAGGAAATAATCTCTAATATTTACAAGGAAATAATCTCTAATAATAAGCCTATCCCTAAAAATCAGTAATTAGATCATGACTAATATTTACAAGGAAATTCCTAGAACTAAGGTAGAGAATCTCCTTAATTTAAGGATTTCCAACACTCCCTCTCAAGTTGGAGTGTAGATGTCAATCGAACCTAGCTTGCCCATAATTTCTTCGAACCTTTTTCTGCTCAAGCTCTTGGTTAACACATCAGCTACTTGTTGTCGAGTAGGTAGATATGAAACACAAACTTCCCCTTTGTTAATTTTCTCTATAATGAAGTGGCGATCGATTTCCACATGCTTGGTGCGGTCATGGTGTACAGGGTTGTGAGCCATATTAACTGCTGCCTGGTTGTCACAGTTTAGTATTATAGGTGTTGTATAGGATAATTTTAGTTCTCCCATTAGCTGTTGTAGCCACATTCCTTCACATATACCTTGGGACAGAGCTCGATACTCAGCTTCAGCACTGCTGCGTGCCACAACCAAATGCTTTTTACTCCTCCATGTCACGAGATTACCCCAAACATAGCTACAATAACCACTTGTGGAGCGCCTGTCATTAATAGCACCTGCCCAGTCTGCATCAGTGTAGACTTCTATGCTTCGATTTACATTTTTCTTGAAATGCAACCCCTTACCCGGAGTCCCTTTTAAATATCTCAATATCCTGTAGGCAGCTTCCAAATGTTTCTCCCTAGAAGCATGCATAAATTGACTAATAACACTTACTCCAAACGCTATGTCTGGACGAGTATGAGAAAGATAAGTTTTCCCACTAACCTTTGATATCTCCCCCTATCTACCTCTTCTCCATCCTTATCAATTCCTAATTTAAGGTTGGGTTCCATGGGAGTCTCAGCTGGTTTGCAACCCAACAGTCCGACTTCAGAAAGTAGATCAAGAACATACTTTCTTTGAGAGATTGAAATACCTGCCTTTGACCTTGCTATCTCCATTCCAAAAAAATATCTAAGATTCCCCAAGTCTTTAAGTTGAAACTCAAGACTTAAGAATTCTTTTAGTCTTTCAATTTCAATAGAGTCATCTCCTGTCAATATTATGTCATCAATGTATACAATGAGAATACAACACTTCCCATTAGCCGAGTGTTTGTAGAATAAGGTGTGATCAGCTTGACCTTGAATATACTGTCTACTCGTCATGGCTTTGGCAAAACAATTAAACCAAGCCCTGGGGGATTGCTTTAGTCCATACAAAGACTTCTTCAACTTGCATACTTGGCCCTTGCTTCCTTCGAATCCAGGCGGAAAATCCATGTAGACTTCTTCGTTTAATTCTCCATTGAGAAAAGCATTCTTTACATCCAATTGGATCAAAGGCCAATCTAAATTGACAGCAATTGAGAACAACACTCGAATAGTATTTAGTTTGGCCACTGGTGCAAATGTTTCCTCGTAGTCCAACCCATATGTTTGAGTGAAACCCTGGCCACAAGTCTAGCCTTGTATCGATCAATGCTCCCATCTGGTTTAACTTTCGTAGTGAAAATCCACTTACACCCACAGTCTTCTTTCCAGTAGGTAGTTTAGATATTTCCCACGTTTCATTGTCTTCAAGAGCCTTTATTTCTTCCAACACGGCTTGCTTCCATTTGGTTGACTTAAGAGCCTCTTCTATTTCTTTGGAGTTTCTACAGAGTCAATATTAGAAATAAAGGCATTGTAGGATTTAGACAAGTTCCCATAGGATACAAACCGAGAAATGGGATGTTGAGTGCAGCTTCTCGTGCCCTTTCTGATTGCAATTGGAAGATAGATGGAAGGCGAAGGAGGTGAGACTTCTTCCTCAGGTCAGTCCTCGAGTAAAGATGGCATTGGCACTGCTGTTTCAGTTTCTGGCAGCTGATGTTTCCGAGAATATACACGAAGCTGCTGAGTTTTTTCTTGTTGTTTTTCAGAAGGAGGGTTGTTTTTCTTCATTTGTATGATTGATTGCCCTTGTTTCTTGTTGTTGCACAGTGGAGTCGAGTAAAATGGGGCCCAAATCAGGAATTACAATGGCTGTAGGACTTTCAGCAGTGTGGTAGGATTGATAGAGTCTGAGTATAATGAGAAGGTTGTTCAATGTCTCATCTTCACTAAATATCCCCCCTGAAGATGAGAGGCTGAAAAATATGGCTCGTTTTCGAAGAAAGTAACATCAAGGGACACAAACATCCGGTGTAGGGTTGGAGAATAACACTTGTACCCCTTTTGTGTAGGTGAGTATCCAAGAAAGACACAAGTGTGAGCTCTAGGATCAAGTTTAGATCGGTTAGGTTGATGATTGTGGACAAATGTTTTGCAACCGAAAGTTTTGGTTGGGAGATTAGGAACACGAAACAAGGGAAATATTTTTTGAAGAATATGTAAAGGTGTTTGAAAGTTTAATACCTTTGATGGGAGTTGGTTTATAAGATAACAAACAGTGAGAACAGCTTCTCCCCATAAATACTTCGGTACACCCATAGTAAACATAAGAGCACGAGCCACGGCTAAAAGGTGTCTGTTTTTCCTCTCGAAAACCTCGTTTTGTTGAGGGGTGTCAGAACAAGAACTCTGATGTATGATTCCTTGCTCAGAAAGATAAGGGCTTAGGATAGAATTGAAGTACTCTCTCCCATTATCAGTTCTAAGGGTATGAATTTTGGAATTGAACTGAGTTTGAATCATTGAATGAAAACTTTGGAAGACTCTAGAGACTTCGGTTTTTTCTTTGAGAAGATAGATCCAACAAACTCTAGTGTGGTCATCAATGAATGCTATGAACCACCTAGCCCCTGTGACATTTTTTACTCGACTGGCTCCCCATAGATCACTGTGGATTAAAGAGAAAGGTTGAGATTGAACATAAGGTTTCAAAGGATAAGGGAAACGAGTATGTTTAGACAGTTGGCAAACTTCACAATTCAATGAACTTATTTTCTTATTTAGAAATAGTAGAGGAAACAGTTTTTTCAAGTACGTAAAATTAGGGTGTCCTAGTCTACTGTGCCATAGCATGATAGATTCTTCTTTCGATGTAGATAAGGCCATCCCTTCTTGTGAACTGTTTTTATTCCAGATATATAAGCCATCATCAACTTTAGCAGTGCCAATCATCTTCCCCGATTCCTGTTCCTGAACCACACAACCGAAAACAGAAAATTCAACAAGAACTTTCTCATCCTTGGTAAGCTTGCTAATTGAGAGTAAATTACAAGAAAGATTTGGAACATATAAAACTTTATCAATGGAAAAATTTTCAATGAGTCTGATCGTTCCAATTCCAGCCACCGGGGAGTACAACTATGCGAATCCGGGAGTGATCATGACAAGGTAAATATGTGTGAAACAAACTTATATTACCTGTCATGTGGTTGGATGCACCCGAATCTAGTATCCAGATTGGTTCATGTGTAGTATTTAAGGCAGTACCTTGAATAGCTAGTGATCCAATGGTTGTAGGAGTCTCGTGGAGTTTATGAAGAGCCTCAAGTTGAGTTTTGGTGAGCCGAACATCCTGGGCATCTTCTTCAGTAGTAGATATCATTGCTGCCTTGTTTTCTTTCTGATTTTTTTCAGGATAACCATGGAGTTTAAAGCATTTCTCCTTGGTATGTCCAACCCGGTTACAGTGGCTACACCATGGCCTATTTGAACCGGAATTAGAGAGGGTTTCATTGATATCACCCATGAGAGAAGAAAAAAAGAAAAAAAATGTTTAGGAAGAGAGATTGGAGACAAATGAGTAGGATCGAATGAATCCTATGGCTCTCGATACCATGAACAAATTTAGGAAGAAGAAAAGTCTCTTATTTCTTCGAATAGGAGTACACCCTTTTTAACATAGCAGAAAAAAATAAAAAAGGAAATAATCTCTAATATTTACAAGGAAATAATCTCTAATAATAAGCCTATCCCTAAAAATCAGTAATTAGATCATGACTAATATTTACAAGGAAATTCCTAGAACTAAGGTAGAGAATCTCCTTAATTTAAGGATTTCCAACAATATTGATATGTATTTTGGGGCAGGAAACGTGGGAGGCACAGCCCCCTTTGTAGTTAACAGAAACCTTAACCAGTTGGTCCTAAATTAAGTATATTTATTGATTGCCTAAAATAAAACAGATAGCATTGAAGCCAAACGTGCACATACTAACCATAGCAAATGCATCAAGGTCGTAAGGGTTAAAACGCTTCAATGATGTCAGAACAGCCATTCGAAATCCTCTGTCAGCCTCAACAGTGCCAGCAGTTGTGTTTGCAGCAGCGGAATACTTCTGAAGAAGTAGACCTAATTGACCATTTTCTATGAGAATACCAAGAATGAAATTAAGGGCATAGAAGTTTCCGACTCCAGTTATCAAGCGAGCCAAACATGCAAAATCACCCTCAGAAACATAAGCTTCAACCCTGGTAGCAGCAAGGGCTACAAGAACATCAACCCCATCAAGGCATGCTGATGATTTGTAGAAATGGTGTGAAAGAATAAGAAGCTCAACCTGAGAACATAAAATTTCCAGTGAAAAAAATGCTCATGCATCAAAAACAAACCCTCTAAAGCAGGAAATATAACAAAATTTTTTACTTGACAATCTTGCACTTTTGCCAAATTAACAATTAGAAAGCAGAATAATTGCAAATTGATACAATTAAAGTTATGATAATAAGAATTACTTATCATATTACAGACGAAAAACAGTCATTACTCCGAAGACTCTCATGCCTAATATTAACTGTTGAGGATCGGTTTTTAAAATATGACCTCTTAGAAGATAGATGGAAACCAAAACATCAATACTATTCTGATTATAGTTCCACAAATTCCTAAAAGTTTCTACATGACATACATTTGCATATTCCTAACTCGCTTAATACTTTTATCCCCATAAAATGATGTTCTATTATTGTTATATCAAGAAAATACCTCACAGGCAAGCGGTATTTCTTGTCCAGTAATCACTAAACGCATTAATGCATGGCCAACTTCAGGTTCAGAAGGACACAGCTCAGCCCACTTCAAGAAATCTGAAAATCTCCACAAAAGAGGAGCTGGCCCTTCCTCTTTCTGAGAATCCATATATCCCCCACGATGAGCAGCCAATAAACCCTAAAGCATATTGAACGTGCGAGGTCAACAAGTTATATAGATATACAAACAAAATTAACATGAAACTGTCAGACGGTGCAGGGCAAAGATCTGGATTGAGACACTAACATAGAGGCTTCTCACTCAACAAAACACCATATACCAGAGGAAATGAGCATTCTTATAAGCATCATGACTCAAGTGAATATAAAGTACACTGGAAAATCACCTTTAGAAAGGTCTCTGCAAGAATTTGAGCGATACTAGCAGAAGGCATGACATGAGTTCGCACAAGGAGATTTGCTTCCTCAAAAGACTCTTGTGCTTTAAGAGAAAGTAGCTGTAGCAATTCAATAGCTTGTGTGCCAAATGCCTCTGAAAATGAAAGACCCAACACATTTGCAGCTTTGACTACTGCTATTATTCTCTTGCATAATCCACGTCCACTACCTTCAGTGAAAACAGTTGCTAAAGTCTCCAACACCTTTAATGTTCAAAATATAGGAAGCAGTTAGGAAAATCGGAAGAACAACTAAATAGAATGTAACAGAAGAGCCATGTTTAGCCCATAAATAGAAGAGCCATGTTTAGCCCATAAACAAGGAAAACTAGGATTGAATTTAACTACTTAAAATATAGATCAACTATTCAGATATGAAATTAGAGATAAGAAAAACTACATAGACGACAAGTACCTGCAGTGGGTAGATGAGATGTTGGTCGATTGGTTTATATGACTGAATAACAGAAAGAAGTTCCTCATCAAGCATTTCTATTGGTATTTGGCTGGTAGGAGTGGACATTGCAGCAAGTTTCAAAGCAGCATCCACGAGTATGAGTTCAGAAGGCATCTGTCCTGGTGACAGCTTCTGTTGGAGTTGCTTTGCAGCCGATATTTGTCCAAACTCCAGTAAGGACAGAACAGCCCTTTCTAGCTCTCCAGGCCCAATCCTCTCCTCCCACTTAGAAAATGATATTTCAATTTTTAAGCTTTCATCTTGCAACTGGACATCATTTCTAAGGTTGGGAGGATTGGAACTATCTTCAGGCTCAGGGCCTTTATCCACTGGGTCCACCATTGTCCTTCTTGATGATACATAGCCTTTGGCCCTTCGTTTTGTCTTTGAACTCCCAATTGTCACAGTAGAAGAACTTGAGTCTAATGCTTGGTTTCTGTGGAGTGGTTCCTTAGAATCATATTTCTCCACAGTTACATTCTTCATTGAATTAATATGATTGTCCATCTTTGCTATTATGCTAGCAGTTCGATCAATAATGCTGGAAATGTTCCTTGTCAGAAGATTCTGGCTAGAACCAGTTAAAATGATCTCCCCTTCACTTTTCCCTTGAGCTTCAGATTCTACGGCCAAAAGCCATATTCTAGTCTCAATTTCTCGCAGAAGATGTAAAGGATAAACTCTGATAAATGTAGTACAGAAATTAGAGACGAAACCTTAATATTTAGATGAAAAGAAGCAATTCAATTTGGACAAATCACTTACGGGTTGGACTTGGTTATCATCCCACTTAACCATTGAAGAGAGAGCAACAACATTTCATGAAGCTCTCTAGCTGGAAGATCTTTCTCCACTGCTTCTGCATGCTTAAGGAAAAACAATCCTGCCTGCAAGCCATATAGCAGCAAAATCCCATCGAGAATAAACGAGCATGCAGCCAAGAAACAAGAATTCGGGAGGTATCTTTCACATGTATGAAAAAGCATACCTGTAAAGCAGGATAGGAATATCTGATGAATAAAGTCTGGCAGTGACCCCATAAAGCAACTCTCTCTTCAGGCACATCCCAAAGGAATTCTTTCCATTCAGCTACCATGGATTCAGCCTAAAAGAGAGAGAGAGTTGATATTCAGAAGTTCAAGAGGTACTGCTAAAAAGGAACAATCATCGCAGAAGGTACTTAGCATATCCAAAGTCAAAATAAACAACAGTAGTCCACGAGTTTACTCCAGATGTGACCATATTTGGGATTCATCTTTATAATCATATATTGAGCATACCTAGTATACCCATTGTCATGCAGTAACCACCCTTACTTGTCAGACAACTCTAATATATTAGGTTACACTCAGGGCCTGGAAGATTCTCCCTCAAAGTTCTCATCAACTTCCAATTGATGGAAATCCAATTTTAAATTATATACCTGGTATGCATGAATATCAACTTCCTAGTGATGACATATCCTTATTTTATACACTTCCACAATTCATCCCTGTTCCAAAGCACCTATAACTACTGAACACTCTAAAATACTATTTCCAAGCCTGGAATATAACATCGAAGGTTGAAGCTGACAGAAAACAGAAGAGAAACTGAAAAAACAGAAAGAAAAATATAAACTGGAGTTCTGATTTTCTAATCTGCCATAATACATTTGTCCCCTATTTAACATTTAGTAATTAACTCCTAATAAAATACTCTATTGGAAGATAAAGTTTATCCAGAGATAAAGATGATAAGGACTCCTAATCTTAAAGGACTCTTAAAACAGTAGGTACTCTTAATAAAACAGTAAAGTAAACGTAATTAGGACTCTAATACAATATGACAATTCGACAGAAGCTTTCTTAAAACCCTTAGATTTTCTGTTAAAGTTTGGCACCCATTGGTCATTCCATCCATATGGGGACTAATATATGTGTATGTGCCTATCTGAGTTTGCTCCTTAAATATATCCATGACCATCTCCAATAGTCTTTCCCTTTCTCCTCTTGGAAGCTACTGAACAAACCCTCTTTAGATGTCTTTCAAGGGGCAGCAATGAAATTAGTTCATGCAAGCACTCTTCACACACCAATTATGCCATTATCAAGTTCCTGAGGAAAAAGCATGTAACGTTTTTCTTCTCTGAACATCTAAATCTTGACAACATCATGCATGGTAAATTCATTTTCTTCCCAAATGCAGGTACAATTATGTTAAACAGAATAAATAGATTGTCACAAGAAAAAGAAAACGGTATACAACAAAAAAGTTCTAATGGACGCAGAAAGGATATTCAAGGGAAAAACAAGACCACAAAGATCAGCAGTGAAGATAGTCTCGACGTCAAATAGTAAAAACATTTTCCCACACTTAATGCTGGAAGGATAAGGGTATAAGGCTGTCACGAATCCAGTTGCCTGAAGTGTGAGATATGACCCCTCACAACATTAGACATCATAAACAGAATTGATTCTAATTCCATATAAACATGCGAGTGGTAAACCATAGAAAATCCCTAAAATTTCTCCACATGCAAGTGTGTGAATGTGACACTGCTTAACCCAAATTAGCTGTTTTCTGACAAGTTATAGCATGAAACATAATTCACATGGCCTAATCCACAAGTTAAAAGACACAGTAAACTAAATTGCACTGCAAGAAGGGGTATAGTTCAAAGTACACCTGAGTTTCAGTGACTTGGTGAAAAGTAGATTTCCAAGGTCCACCACTAGCCTCCAACTGCCTTGCCCAGTTGCGTGCTTGCTCCCACTGCATGTTCTCTTCTAGTGCTGTTAGGAGGGAAGCATCATCAAGAGTTTCATTCCCAAGGTGCAGATCATCATTTTTACGCAAAGAAGGCTCTGCTAGATTAATTTTCCAATAAAGTTGTCGATAGCGAGCAGCCGCAGAGCCTCCATCTCCAAAGTCGGCAGCAGCAAGAAGTTGCAATAAGCACCTTTTTTCATAAGGAGATGGACAAGTTGAAAGTGTAGCATCAGCAGCTTTTATAGCAGTGGAACTAATCCATGACATTCCAATTTGCCCTTCTCTTCCAATATTTGTCTGTAAATGACTTGGTTCTTCCTTGATTCTAGCAGAAAAGGAACCAAGATGTGCTGAAGCTTCAGACAGACGCATTTGAGAAAATGCCTGAAGAAAAACAGAAAACAAGGGGGAATAGATCAGATTTTATACAACATGATTGATTCAATCCTCAAACTTATTTCAAACTCAAACCCATAATAAAATTATTACTATTACAAAACTATTAGCACAACTGCACAAAAGTTGAAGACATGAATGCACTAAATTGCACAAAGGAAAAGAAACATATTAGTTCTAAGCACAGAAAATAAGAGCATTCTATTTAACAAAAAAATATCATTACTAATTTGTTCCCAAAATCATCAAATAATCAGTTACGATCACTACTTAAGAGACAACTCAACTCAACTGAGACTTCATCCCTATACTATTGTTCCCTAAACATGAATATTGAGCTTGTTTTCTCCAGGCACTTCTGTCTTATAACATCCTCTAAAAGATTCAAATATGCCAAACACTTCCCATTGCTTCAATCTATGTGATTTTTGGTCTGCCTCTACTTTCTTCATTCTTTCTACATGAACACAGCATCCATGTCTTTCACGTTACATCCACAGTCTTATAATCTAAAAAAAAATTAGTCAGGTTCAAGTCTAAGAAAAAATTAAATTCAAGGAATGTCTTATGGTGTTCAAACAAACATGTTAATTTACAATAATATATTCAATTAAGAAGATGAAACGATAACCTGAATACTTATCATATATGTGTGGGGGTGGGGGAGGGGGGTGTAGGTGTCTATCATCACTTTAGTTTTTTCTGAAGCCCTTCAAATTTCACTTTTTAATTACTTTATGCTACGCACAATGTGTATGTTTAGCATCCAAACAACAAATTGAAGCGGCAAACACAGAAACTGCAGCCCCATGTCTGATGATTCAGGATAAAATGATGCATGTACCACCAGATGATGATAACTGGCTCACAAGGCTTCTACCACATAGATGGCAGTCCTCTCCTGCTTAAAAAAGTAGCAAATATAAATAACAAAGCTAGAATTTAGTCCTAACAAACCTGAAGTGCCCGGATAAATGGCAGGAAAGAACAAGAGGGGAGGAACAATTCAAATGCTCTTAGTAAAGGCAGAAACAAGCGCTGTTCACAAAGAACAGCAACCATCTTGGCCAGAGAAGCTGGACCTTCATTAAAATCACTTGAAACATTAATCTGTTCACCGAGTTCAATCTTTTTCTCTTCTCCAGCAGTACTGCACTCAGCAGAAAATATTCTAGTTGAACTATCGGATGCCCCAGGAAAAGGAGTCCTACATAAAGATTCCAAAAGCCGCCTTCGTTTTGGATTCCGCCTATTGTAATGAAATGAAAGTGATCTGCTGCCACATGACCAGGAATTGGTAGCTTCTACAGCTGCTGCAACATTATCTGCTATCTGGCTAGCTATGTCATTCACCTTGATGGATTTAGTTTCCCTATATGACCATATTCAATCAGATTTAAAACTCATCTATAAAAATTGGATATATTCACAAAGAAATGCAAAATCTTAGAAAGGATACGGAACTAGTAGTTTGATATTGAAGAGTGAAGACAGAGCAAAGTGAAAAAACCATAGAAGTGTAATTCATATTTAGTTGTAATAACCTGGCTGCAGTTATTTCCAGCCAAACTGTTAAGCATGCCAGTGGAGACACGTCTGGAAAGCATGATGCAATCATGGACAAAATAGACCAGGAGAAGTCTTTTGCTTTTAGCAATAACGCCTCTCCAGGGTTTTTCTGCTTCTCACAATCTGCTAAAACTCTAAAGAATTCTATGGGTATATATACATTTTCCTCTGGGAAGGGATTTTCACTCTTCTTATCCAGGTATGTTTGGGAGCTAGCCATTTTCTTCGATTGCATGCTTTTCAAAACTGTTAGTATGTGAATCTTAAGACGAGGATCACTGAAGTCCTTTGATGCCTGACACATTAATAGAAAGTAACAGGATATGAAGTGCTGCAAACTATTTTAAAAACATTATAGAACAGAATCAAGCATTAAACTTACAAAGACAACATATATTTAAAAGAAAAAGTTCACAAACAGCAAGCTTACAACTTGGAACACTGTGTCAAATGAGTATCCACCAATCTGAGCTTCACACAAAAACCCGACCTTTAAGAAGACAGGGAAAACAATAAGTTTAGAATCACATAAAAATTGTCATTCAGAAATGAAGTAAAAGTATTGAAGCATACCCAGTCATTATCTCTTGCTAATACAGCAAGATATTTTGTACTCAAGGGCAGCTGATGTATCTGACAGAAGAGAGTTACCAAACTCCAGTACTTACTAGCAGCTTTTTGTTGAGATCTCAATTCAGTTCCATCACCATTACCAGTTAACAGCCAAGATCCACATGTTCTTCCCTCCACTAATTGTGGAAGACTAGCCTTCTCTAAATGCTGCAAGACAAGCATAAGAACTCGAGAATGCTGTTTACTAGAAACTGAAATAAGAGATCCCCTTTGCGTAGAGTTACCCCCATGCATACATTCATCGGCCAATGCTCGAGCTAGAGACTCCATAATACTGTCATCATGTGTTGCAGCATGAAATGCTGAACCCTTAGATGGAAGTTGCCTAGAATTCTCCTTATTTTGAATGGATTTGTGAAAGAAAGATATTCGTCTCAATGAAGCTACATCTACTTGGAGCATGCTGGCTGATATGCCACAAAGCTCTAAAAGAAACGAACATGATGCCACCAAAACATTATCTTCAAAATGGGTAATAGCAAAGGGCATGACCTGAAAATTCAAAACATGAGTATTACGCAGCATCATATAAAACAATGCCTTGGTAATTCTGTATTGGCATAAGAAATAAAAATAAGCTTGCGCCCTTTAAGGGATTTTCATTCTAGTCAATGCTCAATTATAAATATATTATAATCTAAAGAACATGAAAAAAAAGCCCTTACAGATGAAAGAAGACACCCTTCCTTCTCAGATATAGGTGCAAGAAGTATCTGGACATCTGATTGAACATTTGTTTGTCCAGAAGCATTGGATCTCCCATCCATTTTCAACGTTTCAACTCTTGAGATCAGAAGATGATTAAAAGCTGCAAGCGCACGTCCACGATGCAAATGATGTTCAAGCCCAAGTCCAGTTTCCTAAAGTGTTAAGAAAAGAAAAATAGAACTACCGAGTTAAAATTGGTTACAGTTAAACGAAATAGATAATTCCAGAAACAAATTGATTAAAGCTGTAGAAAGTAGACGAGATTAGGAGTCTTTGTTATCTTAGAAGTCTATCGTTATTTGTATTTTATGATTAATCATTATCTTCTTAGGAGACATGATAAGTATTTAGGGGATAAGAGTTTGGAAGAAGAGAAACATAGACTCTATCTTGCATCTCACAACCTATTTTAACAGGTTGTGTTTTCTATTTTGAAAAACAAAACGATCAAGCGAATCTTTTCTCTTTTCTCAAAATCTCACGGAAGCAAATGCTTTAGTAATAGTAGCATTAGCCCAAATAAACATGAGAGACAAAGAAATAAAGCAGAAAGAATAAGGCATGACGATGTAATAATGCAGTTAATTTACAGAAGTTAACTACTCTTTTATACAAACAAGCAGAAAGAAGAAAACACAATTAACAAAAGCTGAAAATGATTTGACTATTTGGCCTCATCAAAGAGTTAGAATACCAGAAAAACTGAAGGGGAAAAGAAGAAACGACCATGATGAAATCAGACTTATTTAATAAAATAAATGCTCAATGTCTACACATTTGAAACGTAGTACGATGATGACCATATACATCAAGCTTTATTTAGTTAATCAGAAGACAAACAGAAGGAAAGACAATTTACAAGCATAGAAATTCAAAACAGCGGGACCCTTTCAATATAGGAAAATGAGTCCAATATTCCTCTTGATTTTCAGCTAGTGTATCAAGCAAGAACTTCAATTCGTCACTAAAATACGCATGAAATTTTAACTCAGATTTCAAAGTACACCATCCTTTCCCAATACACATGAGACTCTAACCCAGATATCTACTCTAGTGTTAGAAAAAAACTAGACCAGACACCAGTTGAACCAGGAACCAGTGGTCTACTGGGACGAGTATTATATCATTAAACCGGGAGTTTGTCAAACCAGCAAAAACCGGTTGAACCCTTAAAAACCCTGAAATTGCAAATACTGGTAACTCGTTAAATTTTTTCTTCAAAAATATTTATTGTATTGATGACATTTGAACCTTTAACCCCTTGATTTTATATCAAAGTAATACCCTTTACTCAAATAAATATTTTTATTAAATATTTAGTACTTATTCAAAGCAACCGACTTGTTCAACCAGAAATAGACAGTCTCACCAGTTTGATCTCTCATCTGATTTTTTAACATTGCAGATAGCAATACATCATCCTTAATGTAATGCAGGCAATAGGGAAAATATATTAAGTATATAAATTATACCACATGTTTATCAGCCATTTTGATATTATGAACTTTTTATCTTGGGTGAATTAGGATAAACCTTGAGTGAAGAGTGATAAAGTTCCTCTTCAACATGCTTTTGTATAGTTGCTTCCCAGGAGATAGCATTAATCTCAGCTTGTTCATCAGCATTTATGTAAAAATCAACGTCTCTGTCCAACAAAGATTCTCCAGTAGGCAAACCTGAAAGTGATTGCCATCCAAGGGGACCCTGCAATATTGTGCAAAGTAAATGACATGGAAAAGTAAATGCCAAAAGAGCAAGTGAATGGATGGAATTTGACATACAAGGGTTCTCAAATCTGTCAAAGGTAACATAAAATAACATTAATACAAGCATGATAAAGCCAGAGGGACACAACTTACCTAGTAACCCAGTACCCACCATCCTATATTTGACTAAAAGGAAAAATTAATGAGAAAAGAAAAGAGACCTGCAAATAAAGCTGGATCAATCGCCGTACAGCTTTAGGGAACCAGAAAGGCAGCATCTGTAGTAGTGAAGTATCATGTCCAGTAGAGAAGAAGATGTTGTCACGCCAATTTAAGTATTCTGCTAAAGCTGCACCCCAAACCAAAAGCAAAGAAAATTATGCCTAAAATACAACATATTTTTTTAATGGGCATGAATAAACAAGCAAAAGAAAGGTAAAATAGCAACCATTTTTTGCTCCGATGCGCGAGAAACCAAAAGATGTATCTTGTCCAAAACATCCAGATACAAGTGTGCGCCACAATGTAGGATAGTGCTGCAAAGTAGGTCTCAGATTTTCTAATGTGCATTGCGCTGTGGAGCTGTTATGCCTGTTGACACTTCCACTAGTTAAGCAATCTGGGATTGGAGCAGAAGCATACATTAGAGTAGCTAATGCTGCCATCTCTCCGCCTCCCTCTGCGATATCATCAATAGTATAAATTATTTCATCTACTTCGTGACCATGGAGGCTGCCATCATGAATCAAATTACGAGACATTATTGAACGAGCATTTTCAAAAGATGCATCATATTCATGACCCTTAAACCTTGACAAAAGCAACCATCTTGCCCAATGACAATCTCCCTGAACAGATGCATCAGACAGGAGAGGACATGTTAGAACATATAAGATTAGTTTATCACATAGAACAGAACAATATAGTAGACATTAGTAAACAAGCTGACAATATTTTTTGATAAAAATGGGAGGCCTTAAAACCCCCCTTCATACCCCTCAAGTTATGAATATAGCTTAACGGACAATATCAGAAAGCTTTAAGATAATCCACATATAAACATGATATTTCACATTGATGAAGTTCAAAAAATATTATAAAATGAGAGGTAATCGCCTTGAGCAAAGACAAGTCCAGTTATCAAACTCAACAAAATACTAAAGGATGGTTATTAAACTTCTATCAATCAAAAGGGATTAAAACAACAACAACAAAATTAACAATCACTGGACATTTTATGATACTTACAGCAGCTTCCTGTAATGAAAGAAGGGACTCATCATCGACAACCAACTTGTGACGATCAAGGTAAAGGTCCAGAAGATTTGGCAAGTTATGTTGTGCACAGTAACGAATGAGTAATTTATCCAAAGCTTGCACAGTCTCTGCACGAAAATTTTCATTCCTGCTTGAGAAATCTGTATCCCATGATCTCCCAGTGGAATTGTCTTCAAATGAAATCTTTAATCTCTTCGTAATGAAGCCTGATCGTGCAAGAACAGATGCTACCTCTGCAGTGCCCTCCCAGTATTCTTTCAAAAATATCAGTTTCTTTACAAGCTCCTTCTCTATCAGAATCCTTAACCACGTAGAACACATAAAAATGGAAGACAACCTAAAAATCTTAACATCTGGAACATCCATACATACAGCATCCAGTTCTTCAACAGAGTACATATAATTCCCGAAGTCGGGAAATCCGCTGCACTCAATTGTTGAGGCAGGCTGGAAACCATCCAAAGCTATTTGGAGGCTTCCAATTGATAAAACTGATGTAGGAATAAGGTCCAAGAGTTTGAAGACTTCCTCCCAGTCATTATGGTAAATGTGATATTCCAATTGTGACTCCCATGACACATGAACACCCATTACAAAAGGCTGATCCAATACTATCTGAAAAGCAGAAGTTTAAACAAAGACATCTTTACTTCTGCCACCCAATAAGCGTGTTAAAGCAAACATGAATTGGCATGCAATACAACAATCAACCTTCAAATATATTGTATGTTTCAGCTTCAAAGATTTATCCCACAAAAATAATTGAAAATATGATGCAGTCCTTTTAAAGTAATTAAGGCCCAAATTGTAGATGCCAATTTCACACAGAAAAATATCATTTTCAATTTAAGTTCAAGATGCTTGCCCTTTTATTGTATCATAACATATCAGACACATTGAAAGCTTTTTCCATTCCAAGTGGAATTGACTGGAACAAGGGAAGAACCTTTGATTTTAAAAACATATATTTAGCCATTTAAAAAGGATTTTAACTCCTGCTGACAGAGCCTTAACTCAGTTGGCAAGTTGCTATAGTGACATCCACAAGGATGTGGGTTCGAACGTGCTTATATAAAAAAGGATATTTAACATCCATCCTTTTTATCATATCTAGTCAATGGGATGAAAAGAAATTAAAGCCAAGAACTATAAACAATAGTAACCAGTGAACATGTCTTACTATGAAAATTTCATTTCCTTCCATTACGTTTCAATACAATTCATAACATTTTCCAAATAAATATGCTGCAAGTCAAGAAAAAGTTGCTTACACGATCAATGGTTCTCTGATCCCAAGCTTTGGACCACACAGCAGCAGCAGCCCAGTATCCGGTATGAACATCATCTTGTTCAAGCACAGTATCAGATGAATTTTCATTAACATTTGCCCATGCACCTAAAACGACTCCATCAATCTCACCACATTCAATTTTTAAATTGTTGAAGAAGTCCAACAGGCACAAATGAATTCCCTCTGGTGGGTTTAAGGTTGATGACACGTGCATGCACTCTTTCATGCGATCATGAAACGTTTTCCAGAAACTACAGCTAGGATAAATCCGCTGCCAAGAGAGACAGAAAAAATGTTCAGCTCCACAGAGATGGAAAGGGTATAAATGCAATTGCATTTACACATGGTTTAACAGAAATATTAGGCAAGTAACAGTAAATGTTCAGATACCTCAATAAGTGATATTCTCTCCATTATTTTCCACTCAACTGATCCCAGGTAACCATATCTCTTCATCTTCTCAGCAATTTGCACACGGAGTGTTTTCCTCACTGTGCCAAATAACAACTGCTTGAGGCAGATTTCAACGTCCTCTCCAAGCCTTTGTAATGTTGCTATAGCAAGCTCAGTTTCACCCTGTCGTTCATGTACAGTCAATATACTGAAGATATATGGAAAAATTCACTTTCAAGTACTTAACCTTTAATACTTCACCTTCAAAAATAGGTCATAAGCAATATCTCTTCCAATGTCACTAACTTCATTGAAGGTATCATGAGGCTCTTCATCAGAGTTGAATTCGATAGAACGATGAAGATGGAGTTGAAGAACAGCTAAAGGGAGGCGTCCAGAGAGTAAAGCATCTTTTACCACAGTTTTCAAATCCAGATTATCTATTTCCCAACGTGCAATCATCTCTTTTGGATTTTCAGTAGGAAGAATTTTCCCTGATCCCATTCCTCGTGGAATAAGGGCAGCTGCTTCAGTAGGATCCTCTAAGTCCACATAAGCTTCAGTGCTTATAGCATTCTTGGGCACCAAAGCAAGCTTCTCATTATTGTTGGGTGGGAATGCCAATGCAGGAATCTGAAGCTCATGTTCATTCAAGGTCTCCAGCGAATCTACTGAAGGTGTTGAAAACTGAAATTCATCCTGAAGGAAACTTGGATCTACCATACTTAATTGCTCCTTCCGATCCACCTGTTTCATATAGAAAGTGCATTACTTAAAATTCTGGGGTTAGACTACAACCAGCAAAGAGTATCCAAATCATACCAATCCTTGGCCGGGCTTTTTAAGTTTTGCTCTAAGTTGATATTGCAGATTACGAATAATCTCCAAAAAATGAGCCATCTCCCGAAGTCTTGTAGAAGTTCCTACTTCATTTTGTGTTTTATCAGGTAATACTGAAGGAAGAGCAAGGACATGGGGCCTATCTAAGCCCTGAAACATGAATGCATCCCTTTTAAGCTGGTTTAATCCATATTCATGGATCATTTTGGTAGCAAACCAGGTGGCTAATTTAAGTAGCCTGTAACAACAGAAAATGAAATGTAAAATAGAAGATATACATAGCAATCTGACTCGTCCATAAAAAATGCATTATCCAAATTTACACATAACCAACACCAAACCCACATTCAAAATTATATAGGTCTTGACCAAAACATGGCATAAATTTATAACTCATGCAAAACAAAGGAAAAACACTAGCTGATATGCAATCTAATATAATAGTCCTGTGATATGCATCCAACGCTTCATGTCAAAATTTGCGGGTGATTATCATAGCATCACACAACAATTCTCGATTTTTTTATTATATTTTTTTTATAGGAATAGGAGGCCTCATTAAAAACCTCCCTCTTAGTTGGCTCTTGTGAAAGAGTCAACTAGCGGAAAGAGGAAAAGAGTGCCTCATTTTATTCATAAACCATAATTACATAAGATACAACTTACATAATAAACATCCCTAGATAAAATACATAACACTACAACAACAAAACACAACACCTCAACCAATCCCCTCTTTTGCTAGCTTGTCTGCTTCCCAATTACAACTCCTTGGAGATTCAACCATTTAACTATGCTTTATGACTAAGTTTCCAAGTTAAAGCACAGAAAGAGATTTGCTCATCTAAGAGATGAGATATTTATTGAGTAATAAATTTCATATAAAGAACCTATGCAATCCATTAATATAGTTATAAAGATAAGAAGCTCCATAAGAAAGCGAGTGAAAGGTGATGCTAACTAATTAGATCGTAGAAATGTAAGTACAAGTCCATCTTAATGTTGCAGGTTTAAACCTAAATCAAACACCAGAGAGACCAATGACGACCAAGCAAAAGAGTCAAATACCAAGGATCCCCATCATAAAATAACAAACAAGGGCACAATACCTACAAGAAGGTAAAAGAAGAAAAGTGCTTATAGAAAAATTAGCTGAACACTACCGTTGAGTCCTTCACTTGGAAGGAATAGATGCTCAATTCATCAATCAATATCCTTATTGCTGAGGAGAGACTAAGGGTTTCTTGATAAATCATTGGAAAATTCATTGCATCATATATTTGTTGTTTCATTACTAACATTACTTGTAGGGTTGCATATTGTTGCTTATCAAACAACATCGAACAGTAGCTTTGAATTGAATAATTGTTGTTCCATTACTAACATTACTCGTAGGGTTCCAAACCTTACACTATATTTGGATAGAAGTTAGTTAAGGAAATTTTATAAAGGAAAGAATAGATATTTGTTTCAGCTGATTGGTGTTAGGTAGAGAAGATTTATGAATTATTATTGTAATCGATATTGAGGCCCATTATTAAGACCTAACATGATGTCATGTTGGAGGAGCAATTAAGATGGGATGCTACTAAGGTTCGATTGGTGTTCCTCGAAGATGATGTCAGGGTTATTATTAACATGATTATTGACCCCACCAAAGAGGATCTCCTTGTTTGGGAACACCAAACACAAGTAGCTTTTCGGCTAAATCGGGTTATAATTGGTTACTTAAGCGGGCTGGTACGGAGCGAGACACATTGACAATTTGGAGGACCTTGGCGAAACTGCCCACGCTTCCCAAAATCTGTATCTTCAGTTGGCGAATATGTCACAACACCCTACCTACCGATGAAAAACTAGATGTTGTTGGATTAGGAGATGGTGCTTGCCCCTTGTGTTTGAGAAAAAAAGGAGTCCTGGCTCCATGCTCTAAAAGATTGCTCTATGATGCAATCCATCCTCTCCCTCTCCGGCTTGAATAACACAATCATTCTTGATTCAACACACTCATGTAAATAGTGGTTGGAACGAGCTTCCTCCTTGCTGGATTGAAATGGTTTTTCTTTATTGATGATCTTACTTTGTAATGTTTGGAACAAGAGAAACAAATGGGTACATGACAATGAGATGCAAGCTGATCGGGAGATGATTAACGCATCTTGGGCTATTGCGGCAGATTTTATCGAGGTGACTGCAAGTCAAGGCAAGTCCCCCCTCTCTTCACATATTGCTTCGAAAGCTTACTAGCAACGACCTACATCAGGCAACATCAAGATCAATGTGGATGGTGCCTTCATTCAAAACACAGGGGAAGCGACAATAGTAGTGGTAGCCCGCGATCACCATGGGTTGGCGTTAGTGGGTGTGGCTCGCAAGCTCGAGTTCCCCAAATGCCTGAATCAAAGAAAGCAATAGCATTCATCCATGGTTTTCGACTGGTTGTAGAAAAAGAGTAGAGTCAAGTTACCTTTGAAATAGATGCAATTTCCATTATCTTTTTTTATAAGAAAAAGTCTCGTTAAAAACCTCCTTCATAACCATCACGCTACGAAAGTAACTTAACAGACATTGGAAGAAGGAAAAGAGTGCCTCATTTGTTATTACTACTGAAAAATACACCAACGTTAAAACCCCAAATGGATACAACCAAAACCCACAAAACTAAGCTTATCCCTTAATTTAAACACACCAACTCCCCAACATACAAAATACAACCCAAATTACCCTAAGCCAGCCTTTGCTAAACTATCAACTTCCCAATTAAAACATCTTTGTATATGCTTAATAATCACTTACGATCCAACACACAATCAACAATTTCCTTGACCATAAGACCATAAGAACCTCGACTCGCTCCCGGATTCTTGATCCACTTCAGTACATTAACTGAATCGCTCTCCAATATAAGACGACCCTTAACACTCCACCCCGATCCTAGAAAAAGAGACAAACCAACATGAATAGCTTTCAACTCAACTAAAATAGGAGGGCCAGGGCCAAAAGCAACCGAGAATGATCCCAACAACTTGCTCTCGGTATCCCGAAGAAGACCACCTATCCCATTGTACTTCCAATTGCTGCTTACAGCCCCATCTACATTAACTTTTCAGAAATCGGGAGGTGGGGGACTCCACGCGGACGGGGAAGACAAATTCTCCCTTAAACCTTTGCAAGAGTCAACAAGAGATGGATCCACCACAAGACAGTCAAGATGAACGGGGAAATTAGGCACTTTTGCCAAAAACCAAGCAGCCACCCTATATCTAGCTAAGAAAAACAATCGTTTGATCAAGCTTCCGTTTTTGAAAGACTAGTAGGTTCCGACATTTCCATAAAGACCACAAAACAACACCAGGGATGACTTTCCATATCTCTGACTTCGGAACTAAATCAGCCCAAGAGGCTACAAATATCTTTGGATTATTTTGCATAACAGTATGTAAATTCCAGCACCTCAAAAAACCTACCCATAATCCCCAAGCTACCCTGCACGATAATAAAAGATGAGAAACAGTTTCGGGCTCAAACCACATAGTGGGCAAAGAATGTCCTCAACCCCACTGACACCACGTATTATTTGCTCAATTTTTACCGCCATCTTCTGATGAATAACCTGCCAAAAAAGCCTCCACTTTAGGAGGGGCAATTCCAATCCACACCAACTTCGACCAGGACAGATCCAGCTCGGACAAGCAAGAATTTAACTTTAAGCACGATTTAACCGTGTACACGCCCTCCCCATTTCCAATCCATAAACAAGAATCTTCAACAACCTTTCCAATTCTAACATTACCCAGCATCAACAACAGTTCGGTCCTGTAGATGCTTAATTTGTCTGGGTAGTTAGGAAACCAGAAAAATTAGAGGGAACGGTTTGTAGAGAGTGGGAGTATGGTGAGTTATCAAAAAACTGTAAATGAGGGATGGTCAGTTTTTTTTAGATATAACCATTCATCAACACAAAAAAAAGAGGAGACCATCTTGTAATCAGAAAAAAAAAACGATTCCTTCTACATACATTTTTCAACAAATAAAAAAGACGAATTTCAGAAGCAATTAAATACTATTACGAAAACCAGAGAACAATTTTTATTTTTATTTTTTTTCACACAATAGAGCAAGAAGGAAGAACAAAGCAATCTTGGAAAGTAAACAGAGGCTTCCATTTTGATATACAGAGCATACAAGGGAATATTCTTCGACAGGTATTCAACCATTTCCATATTTCAGTAACTATTTTCATTTATTATTAACAGCATGTTCTAACCAAACAAAATGAAGAAGTAGAGAGATTACTTACCCTTAGTCTTAGAGTCCATTCGTTCGTGTCGTCGGGATTGAGAGAGGAGTTGTTGAGATTTCTGTTTTGAGTGGTCAGAGTAAAAGACCGTGTTGAATGGAGAGTGGTCATCGGCGAACGGTGGCCGGTGTGAAGAACTTGAAGCGTTCATGGGAAGAGAGAGATAGGATCGAAGTTTGGTCTAGTGTCGAGTTTAAGTGGGCGTTGAGCTTTGGAGTTATACTGGGTATCGAACGGAGTAGAGTCACCAAGACGTGGTGGCCGAGAGATGGAGCAGCGGTAGATTTCCTTTTCTGGTTTGGGCAATGTGCGAGCGTGGGGAAGAAGAAGGGAGAGATAGAGAAGAGGAGAGGAACGGCTGAGGGTTAGGTTTAATATGAGTGTAGGATTAGGTTTAGTTTAAAGTAGGTTTTATGTTAGGTTATTAGGGCTAATTACTCTGAGGTCACTACGTATGCTGTTGATTTCCATTTTAGTCCTGAAGCCGAGTATTGTTTGCTTTATAATTTGGTCTTTAACTTTTATGCACATTTGATTTTAGTCCTAAATGCTAGGGTATTTATTTTCTCTTGTTTGCATATTCGGTCTTCTAGTTTTGCATGTTCTATTTTAGTCCATTTTGTGTGTTTAATTGAATTTTGCAATGATTGTGATTCTGGCTCATTACTTTAAAAAGTTTCTATTTTGACCCCATTATTTATTCAAGTTAATATCTTGTATTTTTACGTTTGGTATGTAATTATGTTAATATTTTTATTTTCGTCCATAGATTTAATTTAGTCATAATTTAGACTTTTTTTTTAATTTAATTCTTTAAATTTAAATTTATTTTAACATAGTCCATTCTTAGATTTGTTTTTAAGTTAGTTGTTATTTCTACTTTGCATGCTTAGTTTAATTTTATTTTATTATGGTCCTTCATGGTAATTTTGAATGTG